GTGTGAGGTGTATATTTGTATGTGTGTGCAGATTTGAGCACACGTGTGCACATGGGGAGGTCAGAAGTCTATATAAGGTACTTTTTCTAATCACTGTGAAGTTCAGGTGTCTTTCCTCTCTCACTCTATCTCATTTTTTTATGTTTTACTTACAGCTTTACTTACTTTGGGGGAGTACATGTGCCACAATGCATGTTTGGAGATCAGAGAACTATTTTGAGGGGTCATTTTACACCTTTCACCTTGTATGTCCCAAGAATTGAACCCAGGGAATCAAGGTTGGCAGTATGCTCCTCCATCCACAGAGCCATCTTGCTAGCCCTCCTCCACCTTAGTTTTGAGATAGAGTCTCTCTCGCTGAACCTGGAGCTCACCAGGTTATCTAAACTGACTAGCCAGCAACCCTAGGGACCTCCATCTCTGCCTCTCCAGTGCTGTCATCACAGGCACAGGCTGCTGTCCCAGGCTTACATGTGAGCACTAGGGATTGGAAGTCAAGTCATCTTCCTCTCCACACACAGCCCAGTAATCGAATATGCTTGAGGTTTCCACAGTACAGTGCTCTTTGTGCTCTACGTGTCTCATATCCAAATAGAAGGAAGGCCTGTCCCTTCAGTACATAACTATAGAAGGATGAGCAAAAGCTCTCAGTGGGCTAATGGTAGCCACCTGCAACCCCTCACTGTCTGGATCTCCTGCCTATCACAGGCAACCACAGGGGCTCAGTAGAAGCAGGTAAAGAGCACCTCTCTCCAGGACTAGAAGGGCCTGGGTCTGACTTCTGATGTTACTACTTACTAGCTTTGGGTGCAAGTTAATGCATTTCTCTAAGCCTTAGTTTACCTAATCGCAAAATGGGCACTTGTCCCACAGTCGCCTGTGTCTCTAATGTGCAGTGCTCTGACTTTTGAGGGGAGAGGAGAGCGGGGAGTCATTGCATGGCCTATTTATTGCTTTTGTGACTTACATTATTAATAACAAACTCCCTCCTCCCTTTCTGGAAAAGTCTTCTTCCAGGATCCATAGGGAATGAATCCAGGACACCCCAGACAATCCTGAAAGATTGCGTCCTTTGCCTCTAATCTTCAAGTATTCCTTTCATTCATTAAGTCATCTCTAGGTTAATTACAATAATTAATACAATGCAAATATTACACAGGTAGTAGCTAAACTATATAGGAGAGGAAATGTTTCATTTGTGCTGCTGTGATAAAATACCTGGAGAGAGAGAGAGAGACAGAGACAGAGACAGATAGGCAGACAGACAGACAGATATTCATGTGTGTGTGTGAATGAAGGTGTCTGCTTTAGCTCACAGTTTCAGGCTCATCACTGTGGGGAAGTTATGGGGCAAGAGCTTGAAGCAGCTGGTCCCAGCACACCCATAATGAAGAGCAGAGAGAACAAATGCATGCATGCTTAATGCTTAGCTAGTTTCTCCTACTCCAATAAAGTCCAGTGCCCAAAATCCGGGAATGACGCCACTCACTTCCAGGCTGCCTCCTCCCCATCAGTTAAGACAACCTTCCACAGACATCTTCATGACCAACCTGATCTAAATAATCCCTCATCGGGACTCTCTTTCCAGGTAGATGTAGGTTGTGTCAAGTTGACAACTAAAACCAGCCATCACAGGAATAGTAAACGGGGGCAGAGTTTGTATGTGTTCAGCACAAATACATCTTTTTCTGAAGTTTTGAACAGCATCATGGTCAGATGAGGGACCTACAGATATGGAAAACCAACTACCACGTGACAACCTCTTTACAGGACTCCAGAAGCAGCTGAGAGGCATTTGGTTCATGGTTTACAATGTCTCAGCCTGTATTCCTAGTTATTTAATGCAAGTCATTAAGGTTACTGTTCAATTTAATTGCCTATGTGTAAGCAGTCTTCGATTCCCTGCTGTTTGAAGAACTGGGTTACATGACTAATAATTACTCTTACTACAAATTCCACAGTCCCAAGTTCTGGGTGTCTCTTTTCTATCTTGACTAGCTTGGAAAAGTTTACCTTCTGTAGAGAAAACTGGTATTAATTCAGCCATAGTTTCCTGGCCAACCTGCTGGAAACAAAGTTGCTGGCAGGTGAGTACTGGAGAGCATGGTTGCTGCTGGGAGTAGGAGGCTTTGACTCCAAAAGGGTTATTGGTCTAAGATGGTGAGCAGAGTCAGAGAGTTGTTGAAAGTGTAAATTCACAGGCTCACTCCACCTGGAGTGAGCCAGAACCTCTAGGAGTGAGCCCCAGCTGCCTGTTTGAATGATCTCTCTTCAGACAGACCATTCTCATCAAAAGTCAAAGTAACACATAAATTATAAGCTCATTGATCTAAATCTGAAAGTCCCCTGCCCTTCCAGGAGAGTGACAGACAAACTGCAGCCACAGCCCAGGTCTCCCACCGGAATGGTCAGTGTCCCTTCTGCTGCTTCGCTGCCTATATCTGAAGAGGCTCCTCATCCCAGCTCCTCCCGCATCCCAGCACCTCCCAGCTGGAAGCTCTAGCACTGGCTTCCAAAGGATAGAGGACTATTTTTAAAAATAAGGACTGTGAATGAACACTGCAGTCTGATCCTACTGAAATCACCTAAGATATTAGCAATTATTTCCCAAGCGTTCGACAAGATAGAACTTCTATTTATGAGATTTGAAAATCCAGGGGTAAGGGAAGGGAGCTCCACGAAGACTAACCAAGCTTAACATCTGGAGGAATGCAGTTTGAAAAAAATGTCAACAGCTGTGCCAGCGTCTGTGGGACATTGTCTTTCTTTTCCCCAAATTGTTTCCAATAGGTGAATGTTACTTCTCTAATTACGAGGGGGAAAGTAAAACTTTTTTTTTGACCATTTCCTATCCATATCATTCTGCATGAAGGTTTATTTTGTATTTCTATTCCTTTCTATATGACAGCACAATATTATAGTAATTATTTATATGGTACCATATGTTACAATGAAGATGAAATTCATTAAATGTATTCTCCCAGATGCCCTGAAAATAAGCAAGGAGGTTAAATGCATTCTGAGGTTCAAAGCACTGAGAATTAAGACAAGCTGTGGAGCTAAAGGAAAAATTAATCCCAGTACTGAGCCCTCTGAGAGCATCCCTTCTATAAAAAAAAAAAAAATGTGGTAGACAGCCTCTCCCTCTTATCTCCATGTTTAACCCCTGGAATGTGCAAGACCTCAGAGAATAAAATCATAGGAGAGAAAACCAGAAACACAGAGACCAGAATGACCAGAATGACACACATACACACATATGCACACACATATGCACACACACACACATACACACACACATATCACACACACACATTTCCATCTCTGTGGGACAGTAAGATGTTGAAATTTACTGGCAAATTCCATTGCCCAATGAGTCTTTTTTTCCCCATAAGTAACGTTTGCTCATTTAAAAAAAATTTATGTTGGCTATCTGATTTCATAAAGCACAAATAAACAAATAAATCTCATTTAAAGAGACATGACAGCCACACAGGCATCCTGCTCCTGTCACATTTGATGTGACGAATTGATGGCTTCAAAGGAAAACGTTTTACTGAAAGTCTCTCAGCAGAATAAGCTCGGTGAATGTTAACTGAAATTTCAGAAGGAAAATGAAAAGCAAAGTTAAGACTACGGAAAGAAAAACACCAGGAGCTATCCCCTTCACCAGAATACCTCCCAACAGCTGACATTTCTAAACTCCACGGCAGCTTTAGGGAAAGAAGGAGTTGGTAGAAAGAAGCTTTCCCCACACTGGAGTTTACAGTGCCCAAGATCACCTCAGTATCTAGATTAACAGCCACAGCAACAGAGAACTCAAACAATTTATCATCTCTGCTCTCCTGGTGCATGCAGGCTTTGGCTTACAAAGGTGTGTCTGGGAACTGTCCTGTTTCCCTCAGTCCTCCACTTTGACAGAGTAATTCCCTTCTAATGCAAAGTAAGTTAAGAACAAGGATAAAGTCACAGAAACTTTCAGGCAGCCCAGATCCAACTCCACACAGTCACCCACTTACCTAATTGTGAAAACTGACTTGTGAGAGCCTTGTTTATAGTGTGCTAACCTCCACAGCAAAGGTCTTCGACGCATCGCGTGCATCTTACAACCCATCCTCTAACACTCAGATACGCACCAACCCAGATCTTACTGTCCCATTCTCCCTAGAGAATAAGGGATGGAATGCTAGGTGGGCTTTACCTCCTCCTGGTTGCCTTTCATGTTTTCCTTTGTGGCTGCTAAAAAGGCATTGATCAGAACTTACCTACAGGTCCAGTTCCTAAGCAGGCACCAAGGCTGCGGGAATAAGTCCAAACCAACGAGATTCAAAACATCTTCAATTTATTTGCAGACTTAGAAATTCCACTTGTCTCCACGAGAGAGAAAACGCTCCCACTTTGTCAAATTGGAAAAGAATGAAAACCCGCAGCTTTCCTCTGAACAAATTTAAATTTTCTGGGTCACTTCCCTCATCACACTTTTTAAGCAGCCTGACCCGCTCAGAATACCTACTGTCTGCGAAAGGCAATTCCCAAGCCTCAGACCTCACCACCCGCCTGCCTTCCTCATCTCACCACCGAGCCTCGCCCTTTCAACCCCACAAACCGCGAGCTTGTTCTCGGGAAAAGTTGCTAGAGGTAGACTCCCCCACCTGCGCTCTCGGAACCGGATGGCTGGAAGGAAGAGAAAGCCTCCGGGGCCCCGCACGCCCTCCAGGCCCAGGCGCGGAGCGCGTCCCACCCCAAAGCCAGGAAGGCGATTTCCACGCAGACCTGCACCCATCCCACTCAAGTCCGCACGCCAGCTCGCCGAGTCACTTACGTAAGCTCGCCGTGCACAGTCCCAAACTGCAGACACATACCCGCACCTGTCACGCATCTGAAATGGACAGGCGCCCACCCCTCGAGGACTACAAGCCACACAGATCGGGACGCGGGTGCGGCTTCCTTTCCTTTTCCCCTGGTTCTTTTCTTGTCCGGTTTTGTCTAACTACAATTACCTTAGCAACCAAAGAATTGCCTCGACTCGCTCCGGCGTCTCAGTTTCTCCTAAAGCCCGGCTGGCGCCCGGCGCATGATAAGGCTGGGGAACCCGGGAGTCGCCAGCTCTCGGGGTGGAGGGGCGGTCGAATCCGTCCGGGCACTGCTCTCCCGAGTGTCGCCTCCTCCTCTTCCTCCTCCTCCTCTTCCACCTCCTTGGTGCCACTCTCCGAGGCGGCGACCGCAGGGGGCTCAACGAGCAGACTGTGCAGCCCCGGACCCGGGAGGAGGCGCGGCGGGTCGCATGGTGCCAGGGCGCGGGGCTCCCGGGGTGTTTCCCTCGCCCCTCGCTGGTCTGGACCGGATCCGCCCCCTCGGCACCCACAGCAACAGGGACCCCGGGGCGCCCCCGGGCGGAGCTCTTGGCCACCCGGTGGGGGCCGATCGCCAAGGAGCTGCCCGGAGTCGCGCAGCCCAGGCGCTCGGCTCGGCCGCTGCCGCAGCGGCGCCCGCTGTCGGGGACCCGGAGCAGCTGCAGCCCCTCGCCGCGCACCTGGGCGCCCGCACCTAGCCTGAGCCGCGCGTTGCGAGCGGGACCCTGGCACCCGAGCACGTCCCTAGGTCGCCGCCGCCGGGCTCACCTGTCCCAGCGCCGCCCAAGGTACGGATCAGGCTCTGTGCAGCAAGCGGGGGGGAAAACAATAATCTGTAGATTCCTGGCAACCGAGCAGCTACCTAGAAAACCGAGGGACTGTCTCAAGCAAGCCAAGGCTCCTCTCCTCGCTGCCAGGAAGACCGGGTACGGAAACTTTAATGGCGCCAAGGTGTTCACGATTCTGGCCTGGGGTGCTGTCCCGGTAGCTTTTGAATCCCTCACTGACGTGGGGCTGGCGCCCTCTAAATTAAAATGAGCCTGTGCGTTCGTCAGAGATATTGTTGCTAACCTCGTGGTTTTATTTATTCAACGTTTACACCACACACAGCATTGGGAGCGCTTTGTGGCTGATACTATCTTGAAACAATACAAAAGGGAATCTGAGGGGAAGACTATGCACAATATCCTTGGGCAAGAAGAGTTGACATTCAAAGGGGCAAGGGTAACTTGAATGGACACTTTAACGTGGGAGTCCTGAAATGTGATGTCTGATGACTCATGACTGGGTTGCAGAAGTAGCTCACCTGGAGTAAACAGAGGTGCCATCCACCTGTAATGTGAGCACTCAAGGGATGGAGGCAGAAAGATCAGAAGTTCGAGGCCGTCTTTGGCTACTTAAGGAGTCCGAGGTCACACTGGACTCCATGAAAGCCTCTCTCAAATTATCTTAGGAAGCTGTAGTTGGAGGTAGGACAAGGTGGTTGGTACTAAGTAGTTACCAGTAGATGTATATATGTCAGTGTTACCAACACCAATAATGAGTCAGTAATTCATATTTTAATGTATTAATCACAGAAAAAAAAATGAAATCACTCCAAGTCATTAAGGATGAATGATCTGAGCCCTTCATCTTCATGGGTCTGGAGTTGAAAATTTCGTTTCCTTGGCAATATGCATATTTGTCAACACTGCTATGCATAAATGTGTAAATAATGAAGAACATTAGTTAAAAGTAAATCGAGAGAAATTCTTCTAACACGGCAGATTGTTAAAGACGGCCAAGGCTGCTAAGTCAGCAAGTGATCTTGAGTAGGATCCAATACTTGTAGATGACACTGATAACTATGGATTTCAATAATACACTGATTCAAGAAAATAGGTTTGTGTTGTTTCCTCACATAAAGTTAGTGCGCTAGCCACGCTGAGAATGACCATACTCTGAAGTATGAAAGAGTGAGTGTAACCTGGAGATACGATGTGCCCAGGAACCCTGAATGTGCCCCACTGGTAGGTAGTAAGCACTTTAAGTCAGAGGTGGGACCCAGTAGAAGGAAGCTGAGTCTGAGGAGAGGTGCCACAGAAAACTGGCTCCTCCCAAGTCTACTTCCCAGAGCCCACAAAGCTCCTACCAGCATCCTCCATGATAGCAGCTTGAAGCACAGGACCAAGAAACCATGGGCTAAAAATCTCTAAAATCTTCACGCCAGAGGAAGTCTTTCCTCCTTGTAAATTGTTTATCTCCAGTATTTTGCCACTGGGAGGAGGAAGTGCCTAATACACAGGCATTTGTTACTTATTCACAGATGGTTGAAAACCAGTAACACCCAAATAAAGTGAGCAAACGAGCTGGTCTGTCCAACTGCTTGTGTAATGTGTTTTGTAATTCAATGTGATTTCAGAATAGATGGCGTAAAAAGATATGTTGAGGTATAATTGTTCTCTTCGCCAAGATGAACAACAAAGGCTTTTTGTTTTTCATTCTATTTATGTGTATGGATGTTTTGTCTGCTTGTATGTGCACCATGTGTGTGCAATACCTGCTGGAGACCAGAAGAGGGTGACAGATCCCCTGGGACCAGAGTTATAGCTAGTTGTGAACCAGAATGTGGGTTCTTGGAACCAAACCCAGGACCTCTGGAAGAGCAGCCACTGCTCTTAACCACTGAGTCACCCCTCCAGCCCCTAAAGACTCATCACTTTTGAAAAGTGTCCCTCACAGGTTTCTTTGAAGTATTATCTCACCATAACTGAGATGAAAAGATGGTATCTCTGCACATCACTCTGTGAATATATACAGTTCCACTCAACCTGTTTCCATCAGCTCACTCCATATTCCTGAAGGCCTTGCCACACACAACAATCTTTCCAGAACCTCTAAAGTATAAAGTAAATATAGTAATCTGTAAAATCCTGATTCTCTCAATTAATTTATTACCAGATGAGGGGCTACAGCTGAGCCTTTGATAGAATTACCCTTGGGACAGCTCTGTTAACTTTATTTTAATAACGGCATGAAGAGCAAAGATAGAACATGTAGTACATAGTACATGTAAATTCCTCTGAAACATTTTAGGGGTGTGGGCTTGTGGAGGATAATGAGTTTGGGTAAGAGATGGCCCATGTCTTGGGTTATGGATTTGTTATATTTGACAGCTGATGTTAGTTTTCCTCAAATCTACTTATCTTTTTCTTCAGCGTTATGTGTAGTTTGTTATTTGTGTGTGTATGTATGTGTGTGTTTGTTATGTGTACATGTATGTTCGTATATGTGAGTGTAAGTGGATGCCACAGTGTGTCTACGGGGGTCAGAGGAAAGTCATGGGTGTTAGTGTTTTTCCACTTCATTTGAGACAGGGTCTCAGATTCAAAGCTGTGTACACAAGGCTTGCAAGCTTCCAGAGATTCTCCTATCTCTGCTTCCCATCTTCCTGCAGAAACACAAGAATCACAGACACACACTACCCTGCCTGTCTTACATGGGTCCTGAGAACTCAAACTCAGGTCCTCACAAATGTGTACCCCCTGAGCCAACTCCACAGTTTGTGGGTAGCCTTTTATCCTAATAGCTAAGGTATTATTTCCATTTTGGCAAAGACAGGAACCAGATTTTGTGTCAGCTTTTCCTCATGGTACATCCAGAAAGAAAGCAAATCTTCTCATAGTATGTAAGGGCACTTGCAGCTAAGCCTGATGTCCTAAGTTGGATCCCCAGAATCCACATGGTGGAAAGAAAAAATTGATTCCAGCAAGTTGCTCTCTGTCTGACCTCCACATAGTAACACACACACACACACACACACACACACCAATCACAATTTTTTTTAAGTTTCAAAAAAGATCTGTTCAAAGGCCACAGCAACAGGGCCATGGTGAGAAGCAAGGGTTTCAAACTGGGACTTGGCAATAGTGATTCTTGAGCTTTGGCTCAGAATAGATTCGTCCAAATTTCTGGCAATGGAGACTCAAGGATCTACTTTTGACCAAGAATTTGTAAGCGGCAGCTTGTGGCCATTCCCTTAGGAGATCACTCATCATTTTTTGTTAGTATTAATTATCCAACCATGTTAGGAGTCAGTCTGTGGCAAGCAAACTCACAATTACATAGGCGGGTTTTTTCCCTCTTTCCAGTGTTAGTCTTGTGATCCGCAGTCTCAAAACCCCGGTGTCTGAGAACAAATGTGTTTATGTCTTAGTGCTGGTGGTTATGTTTTGGGACTTGGAAGTGATGTCATGCCAAAGTAAAGTTTGTATTTACAAAGTTCCAAAGCTTAATAGTCAGGAGACAAGGATATGTGCTCCAATACTAGACCCAGGGCAAAAATTACATCAGCAATAACAAACTTTTAAAAAGCTAAACAAACCCAAAATAACCATGGAATCCTGTTTATAGAAGAAACATGGGCCTTGCTCAGGCACTTCCCAGACCCTATGGCAAGGGCTGATAGCTAGAACCTTGTAGGCAGACCCGTAACAGATAGGATATGCCCTGTCTTTTTATATTCCTTCCTTTGACTGGAAATCTCCGTTCCTCACCCACCTCTGTCTTTCTCCTTTTAGGTTCTGGGATTCTCACAGGTGGCCATAGTTACAGAGATATTGAATAATGGGTTTCTTTATAAAATTACATTTGTTTATATTTGTGCATATATTGATTCCTCCCTCTCAGTGTGTGTGTGTGTGTGTGTGTGTACATGTGCACGTAGCTATATCTATCCTGGGCTATATGCATGCAAAGAAAGACAACTCATTTTTTAATGCTGATTGTGCAAGCTACAGTCATCACAATGATATGGTACTTGCATAAAACCTGACTCATGGCTAATGGAACACGTAGAATGCCAAGAAACAAGCCTAACAATGTACAGCCAAGTAATTTTTTGACAAGGAACCAAACCCCACAGAGAATACACAATCTCTTTAATTAATGGTTCTGAGAAACACTGGAGAGTCTCACACAAAAGAATGAAACTGGGTCCCTTTCTTCCAGCACACACAAACATCAGCTTGAAGTGGGCTTAACACCAGAACATGAGACTTGAAAACATAACGCTCCTAAAGAGAAATATTAAACCAGGTGATGTGTTCATAGCGCTCAAGCCCCAAATCAGATGACAAAGCAAAAATAGACAAGTGTGGTCTGCAATTTTTTCCAAACCTTCCACACTGTAGAGGAAGCCATGGAGAGGAGGGGCAACCCTCTAATAGGAGAAAACATTTGCAAATCTTAGTTAAGAGGCCGATACCCAGAATACACAAGGAACTCAATCCAATATCAAGAAAACAAACAATCTAAAAGTAAGCAGAGAAACTTGAACAAGCCCATGAAAAAAAAATAATTTGATACCACTATTATTTAAGAATATGCAAATTAAAGCCACAGTGAGGTGAGCCCTCCCCAAATAGAGTGGCTGTTATCAAAACAAAAAAAGATAACAAGTACAGGAAAGAAAGGTGGGCCTTGTTCATTGTTTGTGGGAATGTAAATTAAGGTAGCCATTATGGAAAAACAGTATGAAGACTATTCAGAGTCTAAAAATAAAATTATCATGTGACCCCATAATCATGATTCTGGCTATTTACTCAAAGAAAAGGAGTCAGTTTGCCGAAGAGATAG